CTGTGCATTTATGGGTGTATGGATATATATACATATATACAGTATACACACACACACATATATATATATATCTACTGTATATGACAAAAATGTTTACTACTGCAGAAATATAACACTTTTGACCACAACAATTTTTCTGCAGTCTGAATCTTAGTCTTTAAACCAATGATTTATGAATATATGATTTTAAATATGATATATAATAATTTACATAATATTATGTTGTATGTAATAATTAAAGTAACATCACACTTAAAATGTGTAAAAATCAAACAAATAATAAAATAAGCAATAAGTGCAAGAAGGGAAATATCATTATTTTATGCATTTACATATTCATATATTACATTTACATAATAATTTAGCAGAAGCTTTTATCCAAAGCGACGTACAAATGAGGAGAGCAAAAGACGCGTCTTTAGAAACGTTTTGAAAAAACATCCGTTTAAGACGAACGAAAAATATTCATGTTGACTCAATTAAAAAAAAATTTGGTAAACCAAATTTTTAAAAGATTACATTGATTACATTTAATGAAATTAAGCTGGAATCACTTCTATGAAGGATTGTGTCGTATATGCTCATTTTAATTAATGAAATTAAACAAAGAGCTAAAATCATTTTTTTGAGAGTACATTTATATTTAATTGTGTAAGGATATTAATTTTTATATAGCCTACATTTATATTGTGTAAGGACATTAGTTTATGGATATTACCTTCATAAGCTGTATTAATCAGCTGTTCATAAAGCATAATTCCCTCTGTTGCAGGAAACAGAAGATGAGCGTCTGATGATCATCATGATCCTGACGTCAGGTTATGAGTCTGTAGATGAAGATGAAGGTTGTCTGGATGTCATTTACACACACGATCCAGGAGCTGAAAAAGAAATGATCATGTGTGTTCACTTACAGCATTGAGTTACAACAGTTTGTATGATTATTTTTTTTCTATTTTTTGTTTTCAATTTAAATTTTGTTGAAGTTTTAAAAATTTTGTTGTGTTTTGTCATTTTTATTAGGTTTTGATTTTTGAAAACAATGCCTGTATAGCTTTTGTTCATTTTTATTTCAGTTTTAGTTATTTTATAGTACTTAAAGTTACACTAAATAAAAATGAGAAATATTTCCTTGGCAATTTTTTTTCTTATCATATACATTCCATGTTTTTGTTTTTGTTATCCATATTAATAATGATTAAATACATGTTTGCAGAACCTCTGGACAAACATCAGTTTTTGGGGTAAATATACTTTGCATTACCAACACTAGAGTCTAAAGCAGAAATTTTACATGAAGATTTCAAGATTTCAGGGTATTTTCTACAACAGTGGCCTAAAAAAAAATTACTAAATCATTTGAATATTGATTAAAATTAAACAATAGCTCAACATCAGCGGAAAAATAATGTGAGGTGGAGTAAGTTGATAAGATTATTAAGATTAGACAGACACTGTGACATAATTTATGGCTTATTTATTTATTTTTTTTGTCATTTCAACTTAAAGGATATTAAACTGACTTAAAAAGAGAATTAATTGTAAATAAATGCAATCCTATAAGAAATACCTGGTCATTTTTTATATTTACTCATGAAATTGTGTCTCTCAAACTCTGTGTCCAGGAGATGGCGCTATAGATTATATATTAACATAATTCCGTTTGGAACACACACACACAAAATATTTAAAAAAATATATATATATATATAAAAAAACATATCACTAAAAACACAATTCAATCATAATTTACTCACCCTTAAGATGCTCCAAACCAGCATGACTTTCATATTTATATGAACTTTTCAAGATCAATGGGAGCATATGTGAAATATGAGTGTGAAGAATCCAAAAATACACAGATGACAGACTGTTGTATTTGGTTTAAATTCTTTAAAGGTGCATTCAATACAGTGTTTTTCAGTTCCTCTACATTTTCAGGCATATGTACAGGATTTATATACAGTCCTCATAGAAAATAAAACTAATACAAAATAATAAGCTTTTGTACAGAAGCAAAAGAATCTATATATACACATATCTTTGAAATGACAAGGCATATAGTACACTCTCCCGTCATACATTACACGCCGAAATAACATCCATCTGGTTTTCACACAGGAAAACACACACCGCGATCATCCCGAACGGTGAAACACACTCCCGTGTGACAGTGAGGCGAAGACAAACACAAACATACAGAAAGAGAACGACTACGTTGTTTTCAGAATTACAGTATCTTCTGCTGAAGTGAAATGTGAATTGTAAACTAAAGATGATTATATAGAGTGAATCTCAAGGTCACAAAACATTTCACCCCAAAATTAAAAGAAAGAAATAGGGAATTGTATTTTGCATTATAAAAAAATAAGCACATTTTTTAATGGGAAAATAATTATATTAGATATAGATATATATCCCACACACACACTCAATATATATTCAATTATAAATAATATATAATAATAAAATATTATTGTTCTATTACAATACTGAGGTCGTAATGAAAAATCGGTATGCAAATCATATATTTTAGGTTATTTTTCATTCAATTTTAGGGTGAATTGTGATTTTTCATGAAATTCATCCTATAAAAGAGTGAGATGCAAAACACACACACAGTCATACGATCATGCATGTCTCTCACACACACACATCTCATCTCACAAACTGTAAATATATTTTCTCTGTACTAATAATATCTTTAAATATTTACGGATAAAGCGTTCCAAAAATAAATAACCACAGTTTAAGTTTGTCTATTGCAAGATATAGTGATTCATATTTCTTTTAAAACTCTGTATGTGCAAGTTCTGTGCAACGTTGAGTCTTCTTGCCCTAAAAAAAACAAACGTTACATTCAATACTGGAAACTTCAATCCCTGACGGAGTCGGAAACGCTCTCCGAGAGTCCGTTACAATCCCGACAGTCTTCGCTCCGAGGTCTGGAGTCGTCCGACGCGTCCCGAAATATCCAAGATTGCACTTCAAGTATTCAAATGAAAAGTGTTGTCGTGTCCCGAACCCTAGGGATCTGAGCGAGGCTGGGGCACGTATTGCAGCGCGCTTTGATTTGTCAGAAACTTGATGGTTTCTCGTCTTCAAGTTTGGTTTTATTATCAATAAACATTCCAGAAAAAATTATATATATATATATAGCTTATCATAAGCTTTTAATACTCTTAAAGCCAGTACTAATGTGCCTCAACAAAACGTCCTCTTCACTGGCCTGGTAAACCATCAAGACAGGAAGTAGAATTGTGTCCATCACATCCAGCTTATAGTGTGCAGCTCAAATCAGAAACAGAGGTCACACACACACACACACACACACACACTCAATCACAGTCGGGCACAATCATCCTCAGGGTCAGGAAACTGGAGTGCAGCTGCAGCTCGAGAAAGAGCCAAGATGGCGGATAGACCAGAGCGAACGAACGCACCAACCAAAAGCCAATGTAAACCAGAGTGTGTAGAAACCAGATAAAGATCTGCCAAAAAAGTGCCGTCAACCTCAAGAAATCACAATCGCGAATACACAGCCATACCATAAAGACATCGCGCGGTGGAAAAGAGCCACTGGGTTTGGTATATGCATGAAAACCGATGCAGCGTTGAGATTATTACTCGTTCTCAGCATCGAGGAAGCGATGAGAAACGTGGAAAGCTAAACCTTGAATACATCACAGTACGCCGATGAGGAGAGGCACTGATCTCCGGGGAATCTCACCAACACTGCCATCCATCACTCTTTCACATCAAAATCAAAGAAAATCTCTTATTTTCACCACATTAAACATTTCTCCATTACTGTAATGTGCGGAGTCCCACACGTGGCAAAATATGTGCATCGTGGCCATGAATGATAATGCCTGGTTCAGATTACATGATTTTAGCCTGATTTTGGCACGATCCATTTGACGTAGGGTGTCGTGGGGATTCGTAAGCGACAACGGGCGTCGGGACGCAAGATTCGATCGTATCATCTCGTAGTGTGTCATAGTGGGCGACAACCGACGTCGCGTCTGCGATGTTCACGACAAAAAGACTAGCATCAGAGAATGTCTAATTGAAGAGAATTGGCACTGGCTGGTTACTCTTGAGTTCTGGGCTGGCTGCAGTAACAGTCTCTGTCCATGCGGGGGCGCTCGCCCTCGAGTGCAGAATGAATGGGAGTCAATGGGGTTTCAACCCCAGAAATCCACTTTTCTCAGGATGTAATTTTGTCAAGTAATTTAAAAGTTGCATTCAAAAAGGAGAGCTAAGATAATACACTCACTTGCATTTTTAAGTTCACTTATCTGTTCTAAAAATCCGTTCAAAAATGTGATGACGTCACACAATAGCAGAATGCTAGTGTGTTCCGGCCAACAACAGCCTAACCTGTAAGAAATCAAAAGGACATAAGGACTCGTTCATTCAACTTTTAGCCTATAATCTATATTGAACTTGCGGAATTAACAATAAAATCTATGATGATTCAACGACAAGCAGGAGAAAGAGACACATTTAGCCGTTTAGCTACATAGACTCCCATTCATTCTGCACTCGCCCGCGATCACCTCCAGTGGAATTCTAATGGAACTGCAACCAAGATGATATACAATGGCGCGAGACGGGCTCTGCTAGCATGTTTAATTTTTTAACGGTCGTCCGCGACGGTTCCGTTACATGTATGAGGTTGACCAATAGGAAGCTTTTCCGTACACAACTTTCAAAAATGGCGAAACGAAAGAGAGACGATAGTGCTAACGTTAAAACTAAAGTAAAAATATATAAGAGAAAACAATATTTTACCTCAAGTTCTCTTTGGAGGATTGACAGCCCATACGGTCCTCTTCTGGTTCTCAAGTCTCACGAAATGGCCGTCAGACACGCAACTCAACCACGCCACACCGTGTATTTCTCACACTGAAAAGGCGAGCAACCAGGAACGTGTCCATTATCGGCTTTTCTTTCTTTTTTTCTGAACACCGCTTCATCCATAGTTTGTTTACGTTCGTTTCCGGAAGTCACTCGCTACTAGTTTCGCCTTCTCGATGACCTCACGCGCGGCGTTAAAGACGGCATGCGATGACCGGTCAGGAAGCAACATGTAGTCGGACATGTGTCTTGTCCACGACACGCCAATATTTTAAGAGTCAAAATCGCGAAATCTGACACAGCGACTATAGAAACAGACAAAAAAAATCGCCTATTCTGAACCAGGCATAATGCGTTCCCTTGCTTTATGTAAATCACGCGCACAATATAATCATTCGTTCCCTCGCTTTTCTAAATCGTGTAATAATTAGTTCCCTTGTTTTAGTTCCATCAGAACGACTTATTATAACAGTGGCCACGATTTACTAAATCATAATTATTATGATATAATGTGTGCACCATATTATACAAAGGAACCAATAATTATATTGTGCGATTTACTATAACAAGAGAAGAAATTGTTCATTTGTGGCCACGATATACACATGTTTTCCTGAATGTCCGGTGTGTCTCCATAGTAATGCAAAAATATATATTTCCTACATAAACTAGGCTAAATAATATATTTGTAAAGTACAATTAAATATGCCGATTATACAGTTTCATCTTTATGATTACCGGATAAAGATTGTTTTTAAATCATAAACGACTGCAACTTGTCGCTGATATTGAGATTTTTGCTTGTTTTTTCTCTTTTTTTTAAAGCAACAAGCAAGGTTTTTTTTATAATGTCAATTTTGGATTGTCATGAAAATAGTCATGAAGTCACAATGGAAAAAAAAGGTCCAGATTCTAGAAATTTCCTTCATTTTTTTTTTTGACAGAATTTCTGGTATTTTTCTTGAGAAATGAATAAATGACATATATTCGTGAGATTCGCCCTTTCACCTGCATAACACGACTAAAATAAAGCCATTAGCCTATAGTGAAACAACTGTTATTATTGCACTGAGCAACTTTTGGTGATCATGACGTCCTCCACCAGGACATCAGTTACAAAAATAGCAAAAGAACTAGATAAAGTTATCGAGCGATTGATTAAAGACTCTTTACAGAAGGTTAGTTTAGGATGAGCGTTGCATGAAAGTGAGTGTGCAAGGGAAGTGCATGTGTTTAAGAGCGAGAGACACCAGCACAGCTTTCTCTCTCTCTCTCTTGAAGAGTTCAGCCCAGAGTCGCCCCCTGGTGGCCCTGAGATGCAGCCCTGAGACCCGCAACACCGTGACTAAAACAGTCAAACCAACAAAAACAAGGGGAACAGCGTCCGTGGGGGAATGTTAGATCACATTCACAGTGTGGATTCAATCTCCACTTTGCAGGTTGTGGTTGCGGCGCCTTTGCGAGTGAGCTTGAGGAAGCTGGGCTTCTCTGTGACACCGTTAGTCTTACTGGACGAGGCCAAGGCCTTCTTCTCCCCGTCCCGACTGGACCCCGGGTAGATGACGAGGAAGCAGGACGCCAGGAACCCCAGGAAGGATCCGCCGGACGCCACCATGGGAATGACCCGCACGCTCCCCACCGCGTCCACCACCGCTCCCAGTGCCGACGCCACCAGGATCTGAGAGATGTACACCTGACACGACAGGATGGCACAGTCGATGCCGAAGCCTCGCTTCGAGTTCCCGGGACTGTGCTGGACGTACTGCAAAAACACACCGACAACGCATCAGTCGCATCGAAACGTCCCGTCCCAGTTGCGCTGGGCAACTCTTTAATAATCATAATGACAGCGGTTTATTTGAGGAGAATATAACATTACTGGCACCTTTATTGCATGCTCTAAGAAGGCAGTTTATTTGGAGAAAATCTAATAACAACTAATATTAATATATTTTTCAGCAAAAACTGAGATTCATAATGCACTGGGCAACTTTAGACAATCATAATGCTCCACTAGGGCATTTTTTTGAGCGTATAACACATATGAAAACGGTTTATTTAGATAAATAATGATAATTCTCCTCTAAGACGTTGCATTGCATGAGCTGCTCTGAGACGGCTGTTTGTTTGGAAAAAAACTAATAATAACTTATAATATATTTTTATATAATATATATATTTATATGAGCTGTAAAGTAGAATGAAATGCAACCCTGTGACTAGTGAACTACAGGACACAGACTTTTGCAAGTGTAATTTAAATGTCTTGTTGATAATTATTTATTTAAATAAATTTTTCATTCTTTAATAAAAAATGAAATTAAAATCACAATCAGCGGCATACATTTTCTTTATTAAAAAATAAAAAATGAACAGACCTTTTACATTTATAAAGATTGCAATTTTAATTTTTAGCAGATTAACTATAAATATATATATTTAAAAATATAAGTAAAAGTAAAAATATAATAAATATTATTATTTAATTAATTAAATTAAAATGAATCAGAATTTGCAGGACTACCTTTTCAGCTTCATCAATTTATAGGGATTGCAATTTAAATTTCTAGAAGATTATTTAATGATTTATACAAGTATTTAAAAAAAATGCATTACAATGAATCAAATTTTACAGCACAACCTATTCAGCTTTGTCAATTTATAGGGATTGCACATTCAAATTTTTAGAAGATTAAAAATTAAGATATTATAAATATGTCTATATATTATTAAATATTTAAAATATATATTTAAATGTTTTTGGGAAGAAACAAAATAATAATCAGAATTTGCAGTATGGTGCGATATCCTACGAAAATAATGACCAAAATGTAATGTTTTTTCCATGCTATACCACTATTAATGATTGGTAAAGCTATTGAAAAAAAAAAAAAAAAGAAATTGCTTAATTGCTGTCATGATACTAACAATGTAATCATGTTATCGCCTCGTTCCACCCAGAAAGTAATCTGAAAACACATAATACCTGGTACATGTAAAACTGTCCCCCTCAACACTGGTCATGACAAAGATGAGGTGAAGGGACAGGATTAGCTTTAATTCGGCAGGATTAGAGTCTCAGAGAGATCAGTGTGTGTGTGTGAGTGTGTGCACGGGCGACTCTGACCTCTTTAATATCATGATACTGTCCCAGAAGAGCGTACGGACAGTATGAGATGCTCATGGAGATGATGCCCATACTGCTGATCATCACCATAGACACGTAGACGTTCGGGAAGATTGCCATTACGGCCGTCCCGATCGCGAATCCCAGAGTGCCCAGGATGTAGATGACCTTTATGCTGAGGTCAAAGTTATCCAGGTACTTCTGCAGTAAAGCTGCGTTCAAAGGAGAAATGGAGAATGAAGAACGGTTGCAGCTGGAGATAATATTTATTTATGATTTAATGCCATATCAGCAGCAAATACTATAATCATGGCAATCAACAGTGTTTCAGTTTAAAAAAATAATTAGGATTTCAATCAATTAAAAAAAAAACATTGTTTAAATAATTTAACAATTTTCCTTAAAAAACAATCAATATACAAAATCAGAAATATATACCAATAGTAACAACAGTAATAACATTTACATAGAATCTTTCAATTTAATATTTGTCAGAAATTCTAAAACCTTTTTAAAAATGTCCATTAATATATTTTCGGAATAAAAATTAAGTCACTTGCAACTAAATTAATAACATAATTTTTTTTTTTTAAAGAACTATCAAAATATGTTATTTATGTAAATATTTAGCATGGTTTATTTATAAGTTCAGAGGGAAAATAACGGAATATTAACGTTTTCTCATACTCATTTGTGTGAGGAAGTATCACATATTATGTAGAAAGGTTCCAAATTTGTTTTTATTTGAGCTTTAATGCATATTACACATGGGAGCGTTGTTGCTGTTCACGGTCAGGGACTATTTTTTCTAGCAGAAGGAAGGCTTTTAGTGATTTTACTTCATGAAAGTTGAACTAATACATATTGTTTTAATTTAATATTTGTATTGTGTGGTAACCGTTTTATAAAAGCAATAAGGTACTTGAGGCAAGAGCTGTTTACTGTATTGTGAATAAATAAATCCGGTTCGCTTCATGCCGAACAATGCCCTTCAGACATGACTTATTCACAATACAGCACAGCCTCTCGTACCTTAATGCTTATATCAGCGGTATTATCTGTATTATCAGTATTATCGTATAATCGGTATTATCAGTATTAGCGTATTATCGGTATAATCAGTATTATCGTCTTATCAGTATTATCAGTATTAAAGTATTATCAGTATTATCGTATTATCGGTATTATCAGTATTATTAGGATAATCAGGATTGTCGGTATTATCGGTACTATCAGTATTATCGGTATTATCAGGATTATCGGTATTATCAGTATTATCGGTACTAATCAGTATTATCGGTATTATCAGGATTATCGGTATTATCAGTATTATCGGTATTATCAGTATTATCAGTATTAGCGTATTATCGGTATTATCAGTATTATTAGGATTATCAGTATTATCAGGATTATCGGTATTATCAGTATTATCGGTATTATCAGTATTATCAGTATTAGCGTATTATCGGTATTATCAGTATTATTAGGATTATCGGTATTATCGGTACTATCAGTATTATCGGTATTATCAGGATTATTGTATTATCGGTATTATCACTATTATCGGTATTATCAGTATTATCGGTATTATCGTTATTATCAGGATTATCGGTATTATCACTATTATCGGTATTATCGTTGTTATCAGGATTATTGTATTATCGGTATTATCGTTATTATCGGTATTATCACTATTATCGGTATTATCAGTATTATCGGTATTATCGTTATTATCAGGATTATCGGTATTATCGGTTTTATCAGTATTATCGGTATTATCGTTGTTATCAGGATTATCGGTGTTATCGGTATTTTCGGCAGCGATCGTGTCCTCAGGAGCGATTACCCTCCTCCCTCCCCAGCTCCTCCTGTCTCAGTGAGGATTTACATCCGAGTGCCTCTGAATCAGACTAAATTCTCGAATTATGTTGTACATTAAAATCTTGAATTACTTATATCTGCAATACATTAATGTTGGTTCTGTTGTGTTACCCTGAGTGGGTTATCTCTGCTCTTATCCATGCTAGGCTGCCCAGAACAGAACCAGACCGCCAAGACAAACTATACGCTAATTGTCATTCGTATTTGCCGATAGTGTTCCTGAAAGAAGCGTTGTGTTTTGCACAGGTGTGGTTTCAGGAAACGTACCTGAGCAGATGGCAGCGGTGGCCGCGTAGATCACCAGCCCCCAGCAGCCCATCTGGACCCCGCGGTGGTAGTTATGAAGGGCCGTGGAGTTCAGCGGGGCCTATAGGGCCACAACAGGCATTCACATCAACTGACGTCAGAGAAACCACACCGTTTTCTGCTTTAAAAATCCTCTCATCAGACTGATCTTTCTCTTTATTTATTTGCTAAGTAAACTCTACTTAACTAAGTTCTTAACTAAGAAAGTGTCATTTTGAGTAGGAAATGAAGTGTTGCACGGTGCACCGATACTTCAAATGTATCGCGATTCTCGGAAATTAAAAGCGTCACGATACCTAAATTTAATAGTATTGATACTTTTAAGACCGACCGCGTTCCAGATTTGTAAGAGACGTATTTCATGTTGGTGTGTGCAACGCACGCTTCCAGTGCCTCTCCATTAACTGGAGACTCCATTATTTTTGTATTAGGTGTAAAACTTTCACCCAAACTTTCATAGATAACATTAATAATTTGCAAGCTGCTAAAATAAAGCATTCAAAACATCAGCTTGTGATTTATTTAGATTAGGTTATTACAGCATTTAAAGAGCACAAACCTGCGCAAAGGACATACATGTGAAACGCCTTGTAAGAAATACTTTTCCTTTTCAGGAAAAGTATCGAAAAAGTATCGAAATCGCTATTCTTGACATGGTATCGGTATCGAAACAATAATTTTGGAATCGTGACAACACAAATGTCACAAAATGGCAAGTAACAAACCCTAACATCCAAAGCAATGATAAAACAGTGTAAATACAACCTCGTTAATTATTAAAGGCCCAGTGCATGATGGGTAATTTTACGGAATTTTATAACGTTGATATTTACGCTTCCATTTCCGCACGCTTGAATTGAGTACTAATATAGAATTTACTTCGTTTTTTAACTTTTCATGCAACTACATAATTTTGCTCAGTGCAGGATCTCACCGTAGGGTCCCCCTCGTAGATGACCTGCCCCATGAAGTCGGTGTAAAACACGGCCTCGGCGATGATGGCGAACCACGTGACGAGGTGACACACACACAGTCTGAACAGTTCTCTGGGCATCTTCAGCATGGACAGCCACAGGAGCCTGACGGTGGTCTCGGTCTCGCCCTCCTCGCTCTCCGTGTCCCCGCTGGAGTTGGTGTTCCCGCTCTGATGCCTCGCTCTCTGCCCGTTCCTCTGCTTCTGGCGCTTCTCCATCTCGTAGATGTCGTTCATGCTGCGGGACGGTTTGATGAGGAACGCGGCGTTGGCGCGCCGGTAGCGGTAGCGGTGCGACCCGACTCGGCCGTAGTACGAGAACGTGCAGGACGACTGTCGGTAGAACGTGTGGCGTCTTCGGCGTATCGATGCGTTAGTGCTTGAGGTCTGCAAACCGGGCGGCCCGTGTCCGTTGAGGTCCGTCGGATGTCCGTTAGCAGCTTTCGATTCGTTGAGCTGATTGTTTAGCAGAGCTTCTTCTCCCTCGCTTTCAACCTGCTGCAAAAACGCCGATAAGCGACTGAACTTTCCGCGCGTGAACTCTTGACTCCCGGCGCTGCTGCTTCGGCGCGGCGGAGACCCGTGATAGGAAGAAATGCGATCTTGGAAGATTGACGGCTCGATTTCGCGCAGGAACAGCATATCGTGATCTAAGTGGTCTAGCGTGGCGTCGGCCATCGCTAAAACGGAGTCGCTTTTACAGCGAACGATCTCCACGTCTAAGAAGTCCATATCGAGCTCGCGCTCCGATCGCCGGTCCGTGTCGTAATAGCCGTGGTGCTCGTCTTCGTGGATCATGTCGAGCTGCGGTGCGATCTTAACGCTGGATTGGGTTTCGGCCTCCTCGTCCAGACGGTCCTGTTGCGGACTGAACTGCAGCTCCTCGATACTGAACAGGTGCAGAGCCACGGAGATCGTGAAAAGAAACGCGGCGAACATGAACAGAATTTGCTCTTGAGACTTAAAGGTTCGACCCAAGAAGGTGTGTGTCCAGTCAAGACCGCCCAGAGCGTAACCCACCGCACCACCGAGCCCTGAAACAAACACACACACAGTTTAGCACTGAGGGAACGATTACATGAGACGATGTACTAAAAACAGAAACGTTACTTTGCACTTTCCACGCACTGACGATTATCAAAACGATACCCCACGAAAACTACAAAAAATGCTGTATTCTGCTGCCAGGCCAGTAGATGGCGATGTCACTTATAAAGAAACACACACTATAGAGAGCCTAAGCCCCTCCCCTTCCGGTCGACCATGGGACCTTATTTCGGAATATTGAATGGTAGTCAATGGCGAAAGACAACAAATATTGTGATCTCGTTTGAATTGTGCTCTGAATTACACATATGAAATTTGTCAATTTAAAAGACATTTTAAAGTCAAGAAAGTTGCAGTTTGATGTAAAACTGTTGAGGTGTAAGACTGTGAAAATACGTAAAGACTACAAACCCCAAAGGTGCACACTTTCTCTCAATGAATGAAGCTAACTTTACTGAAGCTAACTTTGCTGAAGCTAATATTACTGAAGCTAACTTTACTGAAGCTAACTTTACTGAAGCTAACTTTGCTGAAGCTAACTTTGCGGAAGCTAACTTTAACTTTACTGAAGCTAACTTTGCTAAAGCTAATATTACTGAAGCTAACTTTACTGAAGCTAACTTTGCTGAAGCTAATATTACTGAAGCTAACTTTGCTGAAGCTAATATTACTGAAGCTAACTTTGCTGAAGCTAACTTTGCTGAAGCTAACTTTGCTGAAGCTAATATTACTGAAGCTAACTTTACTGAAGCTAACTTTGCTGAAGCTAATATTACAGAAGCTAACTTTGCTGAAGCTAATATTACTGAAGCTAACTTTACTGAAGCTAACTTTGCTGAAGCTAATATTACTGAAGCTAACTTTACTGAAGCTAACGTCTGTCATTGTTTCTATAGTCTTACGTTATAATCGTAACGTTACGCCGTTTCGCTTCTCGGGAGATGTAGTTCATCGAGCGATATCCACATAAAATTAAATGTTACTCTTCTGTTTTCATGACAAACTGCGACTTTCTTGACTTTTTAGAATTATCTTTTAAATTGACAAACATCATATGTGTAATTCAGAGCACAGTTCAGACGGAAATAAAAAGATAAGTTGTCTCTCGCCATTGACTACTGTACATGTTTTTTTTCCGAAATAAGGTCCCATGAGCCGGAAGCGAAAACGTAATACGCACGACGTCACTGTTTCCACAAGTTCATGTTTTTGTACTTTACACGGAGATGATAATGGTATCGCTATCAAAAACTTTCACTTTAAAACCAGTTTTCAAAAGTTTCAGGCCCCCAAAATGCAGTTGTCGTGTAAATGAAATTTTTGTCATTGTCAAACGCATAAATAGTTTTACGTTTTACTAAAACTGTGTCGTGTAAACGGCCGCTTTATTCCATACGGACCTGTGTGCAATAACAACGGGAATGACGCTTTGCAAAAACATTATATAAATAAAAATATAAAATAAAAATTAAATTAGTTTATGCTTAAAATGAGAAAAATATCTGTCAATGGGGTCATATTTGTCTTGTTTTAAACATAAACTAATTTAATTATTGGTAGTACAACAAAAAAGATTTGCAATTGAAATTCTCTTTATACATTTTTTCTCTACAAATATTTTAACGTTCTTAAATCATGAAGCAAAATGACTTAATTTCAGAAAACCACACTTATATATTTTCTCGTTTTAAGAATAAACTCACTTGTGAGTGTGTGATTTGGGTCACAGTTTGTACTGTAGTTGTCAATCACAGATCTAAATGTGTGTATTGATCTGCAGTGTGAGTGTAGCCTGTGAAGCGGTGATGTGTGAGGAGTGTGTCCCGTGTCAGTGTTGTACCTGAGGAGAAGGCGTGGATGTTGAGGGCCATGTCCTGCTCCTCGGTGTCGGCCACGTCCAGCAGATACGCTCGTATGGGACCCTCGGTCGCGTCCGCACAGAAGTCCAGCACCACCACCCCCAACACCGTCATCACGATCCCTATCGGCTGGTTATTAGGCACGTCTCCTAAAGCAAGACCTGAGAGAGAGAGAGAGAGAGAGAGAGATGAATCACATCCCAGAATTTAGGAGGGAAAATTGGGGGCAAAAGAATCAGTTTTTGTGCCCAAAAATAGAGCTCATTTTAACATTTTAAAAAAATATATATGTTTTTGTGGAAAACTGAAATAAAGCTGAAAATAAAATGAAAACTGAAAAACTTACACTTAAAAGCTGAAAGAGTTGGAAGTTTGAGAAATCAAAAATGTCTAGAACTAAAAGGAAAGCTATATAGAAATATTTCACATGAAATTACTAAATTGAGAAAAAAACATGAAACAAAAGCATTAAAATATTAATAAATATTATAATTCACAAATAATAATAGGTAAAAATATCATTGTTATTAATGCATTTAAATGTGTTTAATAATAGTTAAAAGCATAATCAAATTACCAACATATTCAAAGCTATATGATCCAACAACTTTTATTTCTAATGAAGTCATATTATAGTCATAATATAGTGTGTATTATATTCAAACCAAGTTTTAAATTCTTTAATAGTCACTCACTCACTATTCATCAATATCTCACAGACTGTTATGTGTGCCACACACACACACACACACACACACTCACTCACTTTCATGTACACCGACCGCACACACACACTCACTCACTCACTCACTCACTCACATGAACGGTTCATCAATATCTCACAGACTTTTATGTGCGCCGCACACACACAATTCATCAATATCTCACAGACTTTTATGACACACAGCCCTCTGGGAATTCAAACATCCTGTAATGAATCCCGGAGCAGTTCAGACCTCAGTGTCCTGACCTTGATCCGGCACACTGTCACGCACACACATGTTGTAAACACACATATATTGACTGTTCTGGCTTATTTGAGAGCTTGTTACAGTAGAACATGTGCGCCACTACAGCCTGAGGTCACGGGGTCAAGTTGTGCATGCTTTGTGTAATGATCGGTGTGTTTGCTGCGGCTCACAATGATCTGATGAACTCCTAACCTAAAGTGTGCAACTTCAGTGTGTCACTCGTCCCACTTCATTGCTGTGCTCAGTTTTGGATTATAAAAAAGAAAATCCACAGACTCACATTGAAGAAGGGATATGATAGATACTTGGAGTGGACTTTTGATGGAGAATCACCTAGAAACCACCCAGAACACCCTAGCAACGGCTGGAAACACATTAAAAACGCAAGAGAACTCCATAGAAACCACTTAGCAACATATTAGCATCATGGTGCACAAATGAAATGAAATAATGAAAATGTTTTATTTTATTTGATTAATTTATTTAATTTTATTATTTAATGTTTTTTTTATTTCATGTTTTTTTTTTTTTTTTTTTTTTAGATAATATATGTTTATTTTATTTATTTTTTGGGGTTTTTTTTGTATATGTGTGATGCTCTGTCTCTGTTTTTAGGGTGACTGTGTAACATTTTGTCAAGGGTCTACGGATGAAAAATAGCCTCTTGGGCTAATTCTGGCACGTTTACACTTGTTTATTAATGTGCATTGACCCTGTAAATAAAAAAAAAAAAAAAAAAAATTTCTTATAAATGAAATAATGAAATGAAATAATGAAAAAAAAAGAAATAAAATAATACAATTAGATTAAATTATTAAATTAAATTAAATAGTAATAAAATTAAAAATTAAATAATTAAATAAAATACATTGATAGAATAAATTGTTCAATTAAATTAAATAGTAATAAAATTAAAAATTAAATAATTAAATAAAATACATTGATAGAATAAATTGTTCAATTAAATTTAATAGTAATAAAATTAAAAATTAAATAATTAAATAAAATACATTGATAGAATAAATTGTTCAATTAAATTAAATAGTAATAAAATTAAAAATTAAATAATTAAATAAAATACATTGATAGAATAAATTGTTCAATTAAATTTAATAGTAATAAAATTAAAAATTAAATAATTAAATAAAATACATTGATAGAATAAATTGTTCAATTAAATTAAATAGTAATAAAATTAAAAATTAAATAATTAAATAAAATACATTGATAGAATAAATTGTTCAATTAAATTTAATAGTAATAAAATTAAAAATTAAATAATTAAATAAAATACATTGATAGAATAAATTGTTCAATTAAATTAAATAGTAATAAAATTAAAAATTAAATAATTAAATAAAATACATTGATAGAATAAATTGTTCAATTAAATTAAATAGTAATAAAATTAAAAATTAAATAATTAAATAAAATACATTGATAGAATAAATTGTTCAATTAAATTAAATAGTAATAAAATTAAAAATTAAATAATTAAATAAAATACATTGATAGAATAAATTGTTCAATTAAATTAAATAGTAATAAAATTAAAAATTAAATAATTAAATAAAATACATTGATAGAATAAATTGTTCAATTAAATTAAATAGTAATAAAATTAAAAATTAAATAATTAAATAAAATACATTGATAGAATAAATTGTTCAATTAAATTAAATAGTAATAAAATTAAAAATTAAATAATTAAATAAAATACATTGATAGAATAAATTGTTCAATTAAATTAAATAGTAATAAAATTAAAAATTAAATAATTAAATAAAATACATTGATAGAATAAATTGTTCAATTAAATTAAATAGTAATAAAATTAAAAATTAAATAATTAAATAAAATACATTGATAGAATAAATTGTTCAATTAAATTAAATAGTAATAAAATTAAAAATTAAATAATTAAATAAAATACATTGATAGAATAAATTGTTCAATTAAATTAAATAGTAATAAAATTAAAAATTAAATAATTAAATAAAATACATTGATAGAATAAATTGTTCAATTAAATTAAATAGTAATAAAATTAAAAATTAAATAATTAAATAAAATACATTGATAGAATAAATTGTTCAATTAAATTAAATAGTAATAAAATTAAAAATTAAATAATTAAATAAAATCATTATACATTGAAATAATGTTAATTTCATTTGAGTATTAATTTATGCATGGTTGATATTGTCAAAACATTTATTCTGCAGTATGTAGAGCGCGGAAACTGTTATATCAGCGGTAGAGAGTGTGTGTTACACTTTCGTCCTGACAATGCAGTCGGCGCGCAGCAACAGTGGAGACAGGAAGTTCTTCCAGATTGGCAATGAAAGGTAAAAGGGGCACAACAGGAAACAGTTCCCTGTGAACTGGTTCCTAGTCCTTTCCCATGTCATAGAGACCGACGGAGTTCATGCTGACACACACACACACACACAAAGCATTTACTCACATACTGACAGATAGTCAATAGAATATTGTACAAAAACAAGGTATTACATGTCTTTAAAAAAACAAAAGTGCATGGTCTCAGTGTTACAGTGTTATGAAACCCCGTTTTATCACTGGTCGTTCACACACCCCTGAGTTGAAAAAAGTCTCAAAAAATGGGCGTGTAAAGCTGTGGAAAAGAGGGAGTGTAGAGGGTGGGAAAAGGGGAGACAACGACCAATAAAACATACACCTGCAACACACTCATCATACGACACACAGATATATACATTTGACCTTTGAAGAGAAAGAAAATTTAGTTGAGGGTTAAAAAGCTATTAACAAACAGCCAAAACGAGGAGAAACGCGGTAGAACATTTAAAAGGTCTAATATATTTTCATGACATTTATGAGTTGATTTGACAAAAGAAATAAAGTTGTGAAAAAAATGTAATAGTCTTCCAGATGATAAGAGTTCATGTAGATGAGATAGGTTGCTTAAAATCCTTTTAGCCTCATTTAATGTGCATTAGTCATACAGAGTCTAAAAATAAGGTTACACTTGATTTTAAGGTGCCGTTGTTACACAGTAATTATACATTTAAGTACTGAGTAATATTAAGTAACTACATGTACTTACTAAAGGGTTAGGATTTGGTTTAGGGTTAGTTGCATGTAATTATGCATAATTATTATAGTAACTACAGGTAACAATGATCATTGTTACACATGTTATATGTAAGTATGAAATCATTTTTGTTAACTGTAAAATAAAGTGTTCCCAAAAATAATTTCATGATTTGTTACCACAACTTTTTTTTTTCTTTTGTCAAATCAACTTAGATAATTAAAGTGGTTCAGATAACAATATTTTGAGATTCTGTTGATTAAAGGAATCTCCTTCTTTGTATTAACTCAATTTTTTTTATTTCAATGAACTCAAAATGTTAAGGCAACCAGGAAAACGTACTTTTTAAAAAAATTCCAATAATTTCCATCGAAGTTGGAACAAAATATGGTGTTTCTGCTCGGTGAACGTGATTTCACCAAGTACCACATGTTCCTGGATCAACTTTCCAATCAACCGATCAGATTTGAGGGACAAGTTTACAGTTTATGTCAAGTTTAGTGAAGTACTTAAACATCAGTGTTATTCAGCTTTCACTACCCTCTGATTTGAGGAAAACGTTATGGGTCGGGTTAGGTTTAGGTGTACACTGTAAAAAAAAATATTTTCATGATTAGTAATCACAACATTTTTTCTTTTGTCAAATCAACTTAAATTATTTATGTGGTTCACATAACATAATACTTTGAGTTTCTGATGGTTAAATTAATCTCCTTCATTGTATTATGAACTTAAAATTAAGGCAATTTTTAATTTCTCAGGACTTTTTAAATTTTAAAAGTTACTTAATTTTTTAAGTTAAACCAACACATTTTTTTTTTTTTTACAAAAAGACTAGCATGTTTAATTTTTTTAACGGTCGTCCACGACGGTTCGGTCACATGGATGAGGTTGACCAATAGGAGCACAGCAACTTTCAAAAATGGCGAAACGAAAGAGAGACGATGGTGCTAACGTTAAAACTAAAAGTGAAAATATATAAGAAAACAATATTTTACCTCAAGTTCTCTTAGGAAGATTGACAGCCCACACTGTCCTCTTCGAGCAATCCAGGAACGAGTCCATTGTCGGGTTTTCTTTTTTTTTACTTTTTTCTGAACACAGGACAGCCAATCCAACACTCACCGCTTCATCCATTGTTTGTTTACGTTTGTTTCCGGAAGTCACTCGCTACTAGTTTCGCCTTCTCGATGACATCACGCACGGCATGCAATGACCGGTCAGGAAGCAACGTGTAGTCTAACATGTGTCTTGACAAGATTTTAAGAGTCAAAATCGCGTAATCTGACACAGTGACTATCGTAACAGACAAAAAAAATCGTGTAATCTGACCCAGGCATTACTTGGCAAAATCACGGTGACCGCTCGTGCTCACCTATGAGCGAGCCGTTGAGGAAGAGCGCGACGCCCAGCAGGACGCCCACACACAGGGCCAGGATGAAGGGCCTTCGGCGCCCCCAGCGCAGGGTACAGCGGTCGCTGGCCGAGCCGATCAGAGGAGTGAAGATCAGGCCCAGGATGGGGCTCAGGAACCACGTCAGGCTGTAGTACTGCTCCGGAAGACCTGAGGGCGGATCACACACACGATCAGCTCCTCTTCACTGTAAACTAAGGGTGGTCTACTACACTAGCCAGTTTTACATCGGCTCTTAAATCTCATTCATTCTCTCTGGCTGTTGGTTAGATTAGATTAGTTGGTATTTTGATTTATTTTATGCTTTCTTTTTATATGCGCAATGTTTTATTGTTCAGCACTTTCTTTTAAACGTGCTATAGGAATACATTTTGACTTGGACATATGATGTCACAAAATATCTTGCAGTTTTGTGTTGCATATTATTATGATTATTCACATTGCTTTCAGAATTAACAGCAATATGATACAAGACCCATTATAAACCACTTTACAATGTAAAAAAACCCCTAATATTCAATCTAACCAGATCGATGCTGATAATACTGTTAATAATATTGTTCAGCACTTGCTTTTAAATGTGCTATAGGAATACATTTTGACTTGGATATATGATGTCACTTCCTGTGCACGCAGCCCAGGGCTCACAATTATCTTGCAGTTTTGTGTTGCATATTATTATGATTGCTTTCAGAAAACAGAATTAACAGCAATATGATACAAGACCCATTATAAACCACTTTACAATGTAAAAAAAAACCTAATATTCAATCTAACCAGATCGATGCTGATAATACTAATGCTCTTGCTAACATTATCCAATATTCAACATCCTCACCAACGTATCACAGATTTAACATAACATACTAATAAACTTAATGTGATGCATGTTTGACAGTCAAAGATAAAAACACTCAAGTTTCATTTATGTATCCGGTAGCTCATATTTTTTTACTCGAGAAGGTACTTACTGTAACATTATTCAATATTACCAACACTAACATATCAAGCATCTCCACTCGAATGATTTATGTATTTGGATTGCATATAAAAGATTTTAATCCATTTGGATTACACAGATTTAACATAAACACACTAATAAACTTAATGTTATGCATGTTTGTTTGACAGTCATTTATAAATTAAACTTGAGTGTTTGTATCTTTATGTTAGCTCATAATGTATAAAGTGGCCAGGTTGACCAGGTTTGGGATTGAACATTTATGTCAGCCCAAAATCAAAATTAAAACTCAAAATTATGATCTTATTGACCAGATTCAATAAGAAAATAAGATTGTTTGTAAGAGTAACAGGCTTTAAACCCTATTAAAACACCTCACACACACAGACTCACATGACTCGAATCATTAATAAGGCCGCTGTGGAAATCGTTAAGTGGTTAATAATCCTCTAAAAGCCTGATCTAACCAATAAAAACCCCCCTTCACTGTTCCCGGATCAGCAGAAGACTGGCCTATCAGTGCTGATCTAGACACTCATCTGGAAACAGAAGGGAAAAATAAATACATGTCTGTTTTATTTACTTGAATCATCCGAGTTATTAATATTCTATTATATGCCTATTTAGATATTATTGCATGAGGTTAGGGTTACGGTTAGGGTTAACCCTAACCCATCTAATTATTTAGACTAAGAATTTATATAAATTAACTTATTCAACTGATGTAGTTGACAAAAGATGTTCTTTTCTATGTAAAAACAAATGCTGTCATTAAAAAATAAAAATTTAATTTCATACACTGTAGGAAATACAGTTTCTTTTGGAACGTTAACTTACATTTAGAATATTGAAAGTGTAGAGATGCATTAAAAAAGAAAAATAAAGATTCAGTTTGATACCTGTGCTCAAGGAAAATTGTTCTTAATAAATGAAAAAAATAATCAAAGTGCTCACAGAAAAGATGAGAAAAAGAAAAACTATTCAAAAATAAAAATGAACAATATTCTTCATAAAATATATTCTATATAATCTTCAATATCCTAAATAAAAATATAATTCAGTCAAGTGGTCACAGAAAAGACGAGTAAAAATAATATGTTTTTAAATACATCAAACAATCAATAAAATGTATAATAAATAAGTCAGACAAGTGCTCACGGTAAACACGAGTAAAATAAAAAGAAACTATGACACTTTCAAAGCAAGAAATATGATTATCAAACCTGCAAAGCATGACTCACCACTAAAGAAATATACATATCAGTGATATTATAATCATTAAAGCCAGAAATGTGCATTTGCTGCTTTATAATGCTTCGTCTGTGTGTTACAAAACAGATCAGTATTTCCAAACCAATCCGGTGGCCATTAGAAGAGTATGTTTGTACATGAAAATGAGATCTTATGTCATAATTCCACATAGTTCCCACAATTCTGTGAGGAAAAAAATGAAAGAACGACTATAAAAGTCACAGTTTTCCTCACGGATGCTGGAATAAGGCCACTGCACCTGCTGGAGAAACGAGAAACCGGGATCCGCAAAAAAACAAGAACAACTACAACAGCAACTCATGATCCTCTGGGAAAAACGTCCACTGGAGTCCTGAGAAGTTTTCCGAGTCTCTTATCAGAGTCAGGACCGGATGTGATGGGAGCTTGGGAACCTCACAGTGCCACCGTCCACTTCCTCTTCCTCGCTGTTTCTAAAGATGCTTTTCATACATATGTGAAGCACACAAACACCGAGACGACAGCGAGATCTCTATCAGTCGGTGAGCAGGTTATTTGTTCCTTGACAAATATGTGGAGTAAACATCCAAACAGGACGTTTGAGAGATTTCAGTAAATAATCACAGGAGATTTTCTTGTTTCCCACCAGCCAGGTCAAAAATGGTGAACAATACTGAGAGCAGAATGAGTCAAACCGCAGGAAGTGCTTTCTAAACCAGAGAAACACACAACACTCACTGCAGTAAATCACAGTGAGACGCACTCTCCCGAAATAACATCTGAATTAGAGCCAGACCGATATATATATAGTATATTTCCAAACTATCGGTATCGGCAGTTATAATGGCCGATAAATGAATATTTCAAAAATAAAGTAAAAACGGACGAAACACGCTTCAATCATCTCTCCTTGGAAATGTATGTTTTACAATTTGCAGTATGACGTTATCTATTGCTAAATTATGGCTCATCATAGACTAGCTAACCTGACATTGTAATTATAAGGTAGCTTTAGCTTATAAGGCAATGTAGGGACTAATTATTATTTTATTTATCAGAACTTTAATATATTTTGATGTTCCTCTTTTTTTGTGACTAAAGAAACAAATTTCTTTTTAAAATGCTTTATCATATAAATAACTACAAATAACTGTTAGGGAAATCTGTTAATGTTTTGTTGCACGTTTCTGAGAAAAAATATATATATATATGTATATATATATTTTTTAAATAATATATAAATAAGATATATATATATATTTTAAAACCAAAAAAATATTTGTACCGGTATAAACCTTCAAAATCCTTTATCGGTCGGGCTCTAATCTGAATGTATTACTAATGTCATAATCATTTAAATATTTATTAATTGATAATTATTTAGAAATATACAATACATTTTATCATATATAATATTTTTGTGCTTTTTATATAATGTTATAATTCAAACCAACATAATACATATTTAAATGAAAACAGAATTTTATATACAGTATATATATATATATATCCATCCTATTTAAATATTTATTAATCATAATTATTAATTATAAATCTATTACTATTATGTAGATGTGTATATTTTATCATAATTAGAAATATTATACTAGTAATTGTTACATATTTAAATAATAATAATTATTCATCATTTGTTAAAATTTACCACACACACACACACACACACTTTAGAAATGTAAAAGACTAAGCAAGGAAAGCTTCTGCATTGTAACGTTTAGTGTATTTGATCATGTTTCTGGTATCAGGTGACATAAAAAAAACTCTTTCTGCAGCACACACACACACACACACACCAATAAGACCAAAAAATCTTTCATTAGTCAGCATCACTGACACCATTACAACTGTTCCTGTGCAAACAACAAGCCTTGCCAACACACACTCACTGAAGCCAGAGGCGAGAGAGAGAGAAATCTGAGGGAGAGTGACAGGAAGAGGAAGAGGAAGGTCAAACTTTCTAGAAATGGACAAAAGGCAAAGCAATGCCAGGAAACAGGTGCTCTCTGTGTGTGTGTCAGGTGCAGAGCGGACTACAAGTCCCCGAAACGCTTTAAAACATAAGAACTAAACAAAACTGAAGCACAACTCAACAGGCCAAGCATTAACACTGACTCAGAAAGGAAAAACTCTTCCTTCATCGTTTTTCTAGATGCTTTCCGACTTAATTTCCCAATCACTTCCATAAGAGTTTTCTCCAAGACATTTAATAAGAAGTAAACTTCAGATTCACCTGCTGCTAAACATCACAGTCAAATCAAATTGCCCCTATTTACCTCATATAATGGATATTATAAGTCATAATTAGTCATTTTCTCCTTGG